TTCCTTATATCTAGTCTAAATATACCCTCTTTTAGTTTAAAACCATTATCCCTTGTCCTAAGTCAACAGGCCTCACTAAAAAGTGCATCCCCATCTTTCCTGTAGGCTTCCTTTAAATATTGAAAGACCACAATAAGGTCTCCCCAGAGCCTTCTCTTCTCCAGGCTGAACAACCTCAATTCTCAGCCTGTTCTCATAGGGAAAGTGCTTCAGCCCTCTTATCATCTTTGTGCCCTTCCTCTGGTCCTGCTCCAACAGGTCCATCTGTTTCTTATACTGACCGCTTCAGAGATGGACACAGCACAGCAGAACGGATATCATGAGAGTGGAGTAGAGGGCAAGAATCCCCTCCCTCAACCTGCTGGCCACATTTCTTTTGACGCAGCCCAGGGTATGGTTGGCTTTCTGGGCTGCAAGTGCACATTGCCAGGTCATGTTCAATATTTCATTCACCAACACCCCCAAGTCCTTCTCCTTGGTGCTGCTCTCAATCCTTTCATCCCCCAACTTGTACTGATACTGGGGATTACCCAACCCATCTTCAGGACCTTGCACTTGGCCTTGTTGAACATCATGAGGTTCACATGGGCCCATTTCTCGGGCTTGTCCAGGTCCCCCTGAATAACATCCTGTCCGTCAGGAGTGTCAACAGCACCACTCAGCTTGATATCATCTGTAAATTTTCTGAGAATGCACTCAATCCCACTGTCTATGTCACTAATTAAGATATTAAACAGTACTGGTCCCAATAAGGACCCCTGAGGGACATCACTTGTCATTGGTTTCCATCCAGACATTGAGCTGTTGTCCTCTACTCTCTGGATGTGACCATCCAGACAATTTCTTATCCACTGAATAGTCCATCTGTCAAATCCATATCTCTCCAATTTAGAGAGAAGGATGATGTGAGGGACCGTGTCAAAGGCCCTACAGCAGTCCAGACAGATGACATCCACAGCTCTTCCCTCGTCCACTGATGTAGTCACTCCATCATAGAAGGCCACTACTAGGTTGGTCAGGGAGGACTTGCTCTTGGTAAAGCCATGCTGGCTGTCTCAAATCACCTCTCTGTCCTCCATGTGACTTAGCATAGTTTCTAGGAGGATCTGTTCCATGATCTTCCCAGGCACAGAGGTGAGGCTGACAGGTTGGTAGTTTCCAGGGTTCTAATTTCTACCCTTTTTAAAAATGGTTGCAATGTTTCTCTTTTTCAAGTCACCAGGAACTTCACCTCACTGCTATGACTTTTCAGATATCATGGAGGGTGGCTTGGCAACTACATCAGCCAATTTTCTCAATACTCTGGGATGCATTTCATCGAGTCCTATAGATTTATATATGTTCAGGTTCCTCAGGAGGTCACAAACCTGATCTTTTCTTACAGTGGGAGGGACTTTGCTCCCCCAATCCCTGACTTGAGGTCCATCAACTCAAAGGTGTGGGAAGAGAAATTGCCAGTGAAGACTGAGGCAAAACATTTGTTGAGTAGCTCAGCCTTCTCTTCATCTGCTGTTACCAGTTTGGCAGTCATGTTCATGGAGTGAGTACACTTTTCCTTGACCTTCGCTTTCTGGCTGACATACCTGTAGAAGCCCCTCTATCCTTTGTGTCATGCCAAGTTCAGCTCCGGAAATGCCTTGGTCTTCCTGACCCCATCCCTCCACAACCAGGCAATGTCCTTGTACTATTCCCAGGATACCTGTCTCTGCTTCCACTGCCTGTGCATTTCCATTTTGCCCTTTATTTTGACCAACAAGTCTTGACTCAGCCATCTGGAATCTCCTCCCAGTAAAGAGTCTGGGACACTGAAAATACACCATAGCCCCCATGCCAGTTAGAGCCATCCAACATAAGACTCAGAGGATGTATGACAGCAGGACCTTAACACCAGGGAAAGGCAAAGACACAAGGAAGCACTGTCTGATTTGTTATTGAAATTTTTCTCACTAGCAGTTTTCTTTCTTTCTTTCTTTCTTTCTTTCTTTCTTTCTTTCTTTCTTTCTTTCTTTCTTCTTTCTTTCTTTCTTTCTTTCTTTCTTTCTTTCTTTCTTTCTTTCTTTCTTTCTTTCTTTCTTTCTTTCTTTCTTTCTTTCTTTCTTTCTTTCTTTCTTTCTTTCTTTCTTTCTTTCTTTCTTTCTTTCTTTCTTTCTTTCTTTCTTTCTTTCTTTTTCTTTCTTTCTTTCTTTCTTTCTTTCTTTCTTTCTTTCTTTCTTTCTTTCTTTCTTTCTTTCTTTCTTTCTTTCTTTCTTTCTTTCTTTCTTTCTTTCTTTCTTTCTTTCTTTCTTTCTTTCATTCTTTCTTTCTTTCTTTCTTTCTTTCTTTCTTTCTCTCTTTCTCTCTTTCTCTCTTTCTCTTTCTCTCTTTCTTTCTTTCTTTCTTTTCTTTCTTTCTTTCTTTCTTTCTTTCTTTCTTTCTTTCTTTCTTTCTTTCTTTCTTTCTTTCTTTCTTTCTTTCTTTCTTTCTTTCTTTCTTTCTTTCTTTCTTTCTTTCTTTCTTTCTTTCTTTCTTTCTTTCTTTCTTTCTTTCTTTCTTTCTTTCTTTCTTTCTTTCTCTTTCTTTCTTTCTTTCTTTCTTTCTTTCTTTCTTTCTTTCTTTCTTTCTTTCTTTCTTTCTTTCTTTCTTTCTTTCTTTCTTTCTTTCTTTCTTTCTTTCTTTCTTTCTTTCTTTCTTTTCTTTCTTTCTTTCTTTCTTTCTTTCTCTTTCTTTCTTTCTTTCTCTTTCTTTCTTTCTTTCTTTCTTTCTTTCTTTCTTTCTTTCTTTCTTTCTTTCTTTCTTTCTTTCTTTCTTTCTTTCTTTCTTTCTTTCTTTCTTTCTTTCTTTCTTTCTTTCTTTCTTTCTTTCTTTCTTTCTTTCTTTCTTTCTTTCTTTCTTTCTTTCTTTCTTTCTTTCTTTCTTTCTTTCTTTCTTTCTTTCTTTCTTTCTTTCTTTCTTTCTTTCTTTCTTTCTTTCTTTCTTTCTTTCTTTCTTTCTTTCTTTCTTTCTTTCTTTCTTTCTTTCTTTCTTTCTTTCTTTCTTTCTTTCTTTCTTTCTTTCTCTTTCTTTCTTTCTTTCTCTTTCTTTCTTTCTTTCTTTCTTTCTTTCTTTCTTTCTTTCTTTCTTTCTTTCTTTCTTTCTTTCTTTCTTTCTTTCTTTCTTTCTTTCTTTCTTTCTTTCTTTCTTTCTTTCTTTCTTTCTTTCTTTCTTTCTTTCTTTCTTTCTTTCTTTCTTTCTTTCTTTCTTTCTTTCTTTCTTTCTTTCTTTCTTTCTTTCTTTCTTTCTTTCTTTCTTTCTTTCTTTCTTTCTTTCTTTCTTTCTTTCTTTCTTTCTTTCTTTCTTTCTTTCTTTCTTTCTTTCTTTCTCTTTCTTTCTTTCTTCCTTTCTTCCTTTCTTCCTTTCTTCCTTTCTTCCTTTCTTCCTTTCTTCCTTCCTTCCTTCCTTCCTTTCTTCCTTTCTTCCTTCCTTTCTTCCTTTCTTCCTTTCTTCCTTTCTTCCTTTCTTTCTCCCTTTCTTCCTTTCTTTCTCCCTTTCTTTTTCCCTTTCTCCCTTTCTTTCTTCCTTTCTTTCCTTTCTTTCTTTCATTTCTTTCTCTCTATCTCTCTTTCTCTAGCTAGGCCAATATTTATTCATTGAATAAGATTATAATTAGGCTAACAGTAAATTCATGGCTTTGCCCATAAAGTGGATTTTTTTTTTTTTTTTGGCTCAGAAGTTACACAAACAGTAATATGAAAAATTGGTGGAGAACACGGGTAGCCTATGCTACAGTGTCAATGAAACAATTCTGCTTTTAACCTCAAGAGTGTTCCATCATTTGATAATATTTCAGATTTTGTTTGCAAACACCCAAAGACAAAAAATTGTCTCTTCTGTTTCAATGTTTTGGGGTGGTTTTTTTTTTGTAGGAGGCAGAATATGGTATCCAGACAGTAGCAATATAATTCCTGCAAGAACAGGAAAAATAAAGCAGCAGTGCAAATAAACTAACCTTCTTCAAGTCTAGTGTTTTGCCATTATTACAGAACTTCAGGATTTAGAAGTTCGAGGCACTATAGTCACTTGCTCTCTCTACTTCATCCCTACAGGGAAAATATTTTAAATGATAGGTTCGTTAAGTCAATACATCATACCCTTGATGTATTTGGGGATGAAGATACAATTTTGTTATTATTTCACAAGAATCTGTGAAATTTTACATTTTAGGGCTTTTAGTTTTATCCTATTTAGAAAAAAAAAAATCAATAGTATCCAGGATACTAAATAATTTAGGTTAAACTAAAGTTTCATGTTTAAATGTATCATTCCTGTGAAATTAATGTAGAGATCAGTTATCAAAATGGTATATATATATACATTTAGAAATATCAAGGAAGCTATGAAAATTCCTATGGGTGAAGGTACAGACTTGTGTTCAGATTGTGAAATAAATTTACCTGTCCCTAAGGATAGGTAGACCAGGTAGACCAAACTTACACACCTATTCTTCCAAAGACCAAAACTGAGGTGACTTTGTTATTTGTGAACAAAGCCTTATTGCCTTAAAGAAATACATGCAAAAGGCAAAGTTTCTGTGGTGGTAGAAAAAAATGAATGGCAGCAGTCATTGCTAACATGAGAAACAAGTTAAATCAACAATGCACATCAAAGCTGCTTAGTTTTGCTCCAACAACCATGACCTTGCAAATGTTCATTTACCCAACAAACATAGGTATGCCCTTTTAACTGAAGTCAATTATATAAATGTACCATATGACTCCATCGACATTAGGCATTTGGACCATGCTGCTACACATTATTAGTGGTGTATTTCTCCCTGCAGTGCAATGGAGTGCAATTACTGTCAAATGCAATGAAACAGAAATTTATTCTGTTTATAGAAACATTTTGTCAGACAGCTAAAACTTTGTTAAAGCAAACATAAACAATAATATTTTACATAAATGCATTTTCATGTTAAAAATATCTTTTTTTTTTTTTTTTTTTTCTTGAAATATCTGAATTTTAAGGTGGAGACCACCCCTTACCTCCTCTCTTGTTTAACTTGGCATACCCTGGCACGTAACTGCTTGTCATAGCTGATGAACTGCTGAAGGAGGAGTGGGGTAGTGCTGAGACCAGAGGTTCATCACACTTTTCTGAAACACAAAAAAACAAGTTCACTTTAAGCCACTAATTATTCACACATATTAAGTGGCAATATACATTTTATTTTTCTTTTGGATAATAACACATCCTTATTATTTTTGTACACATAGAATGCATACATCCTAACATTTCAGCAAAAAACGCCAACAAAACAACAAAAACCAAAAAGAAAACCTACAAACAAACAAAGTCACACACCTCAATATGAGAAAATAAAGACTACGACAAAGGACAAAATTAGGTAATGGTAATGCCTAACCATGGGCCACCAGTCTCCTCAGGGTTACTACAAATGAACAAAAAAGCCTGCTTTAACATATCTGGAATGTTTTTGGTGACATGAAAATATAGTGATAAAAAGTATTATCATGAAAGCTTCATAAGAAGTAGATAAGATATAACCTTTCAGCTCTCTAATAGAAGTGCTGATAGACTGATAATTAAAAATAGAAAATAAATTAGGGTACATTAATAAATGCCTATGAATTATCACATAACAGATTTATTGAAAAAAAAGCTTAACAAAATAGCCTTTTTTTCATATAATCTCTATAATCCATTTGAGCACTTCACTTCTATTTTACTCAGTATAAAGAGTATTAATTTGGTATTAGCATCTAAGATGGAAAAAAAAATCAGAATCTTTGCCTTTTTTGATCAAGAACAAAGTTTAAAACAAAACTGCTGGTATATGAAGTTATGTAAATTAGAATGAAGAGCTTTTGATTTTTCAAATATGTGGGTAATGTACTGCACTTTGTTCTAGTTTTTCCTCAGTTATTTCAACATATGGGTGAAATATTTAGGTTAAATTACTCATTTAGAATAATAGAATAGAATCATAGATTGGTTTGGGTGGGAAGGGACCTTAAAGCCCCCCCAGTGCCCCCCCCTGCCCCGGGCAGGGCCCCCTTCCCCCAGCCCAGGGGGCTCCCAGCCCCATCCAACCTGGCCTTGAACCCTTCCAGGGAGGGGGCACCCACAGCTGCTCTGGGCACCCTGGGCCAGTGCCTCACCCCCCTCCACAGGGAACAATTTCTGCCTTAGATCTCATCTAATTATACATTCTTTCAGTTTAAAACTACCCCTTGTCCTATCTCTACACCCCCTGATAAAGAGACACTCCCCAGGTTTCCTGTAGCCCCTTTAAGCAATGGAAGGTTTACATTTCAGGTACAACCTTAAGAAAGCATAACCTACATCAGTCAGCTTGACTAATATTTTTAAATATAGGCACTGCAACACAGGCTCTCCTGTAAGTAAGAGACACCCTCAATTTATGTATCTAGAAAGCATTAGACCAACCCTGGTAAGCAGCATACTTAGCATTCAGCCACACCACATAATTTTGGTACAATTACAAAATGGTGATTTTGTCAAAATGGATCACATGTGAAGACTGAATTAACTGTACCCTCAAAAGAGGAACTTTAAGGGGAAAAAACGGATTGTGAGTGAATCAAGTAATTTATAATGCAGGTCTCCTAAAATTTCCAGTCTCATGTAATGAAAAATATAATAACTTTCACAGCAATAGAAACTGCAGCACAAAAACACCAAAGAACATTTGTTCATGAATCAGTACTTTGACATTTAACAAAACAAATAAGTTTTCTTCACACATCTCTGAGAGTTTGTTAAGGGAGTAAACAAAATTCATACCAGCATAAAAGCACAGGCAAAAATAAAGGGCAATTGCTTTGAACTAAATTAAAAGAGAATTCCAATGACTTTTAAAGTTCACTACTATGCCACTTAATGATGGAATTTTGACAAGGGAAGATAGATGGCTTTAAGCATTATTGTTCCCACCACAAAACAGAAGACCCAATTCCCCTCCTGCCCCCTGCCCCAGCATGGGCTTTTGCCACTGAGCCCACCTGGCCAGTGGCCTGGGGGCAGGAGGGAGGGCTGGTCCCGCAGATGGCATGGAGCAAGGCCCTGCACTTCAAAATCCCTTGTGCCAGGATGCTACTCTCAGGCACAGTAGTACGAGGTTAGAGCTTAGGAATAGCAGTAAGCAGCAGGCTGAAGTGCCCACTACAAATTTTGCCCTAAATGTCATAATAACAGAAAGACAGAGTTACTTGACAAAGTTTTTCTCATGTATTTCTTTATCTATAATGTATTTTTGGTAGTTCATAAAAATGGGGTTTCAACTTAAAGACTGCTGGCAAACTGATCTCACTGCCGCTTCATCATTAGTGTTACCTAGATGGAGATTTTAAGTCGTTTGGCATTAATTCTGTTGTCTAGGTAAAAATAGAAGGAAACATTAAAAAGCAGAAGAGCACATAATCAGAGATATTTTCAAATACACAGCAAAATATCTTTATAGCATTATAGTCCCATGCTTATTTTACATCTTACTGTCGAGGAAAAAAAAAAATTCTCATTAATAATGAGCACTAAGGTTGAACATGTACCTGTGTTCAGTTTCCTGGGTTTTTTAGTATATTTTTTAAAGCAAATTGTTAGGTTTATACGGTTTTTCCCTACTCATAGTTTCATATGGGGGGTGGGAGTGAGGAGAAAGACCTTCATCTTTATGGAAGAATATTAGGAATAGAAAGATTTAGCTACAAAGATGTTTGCTATTCATACAATTTGATTAATTACTGAATATAATGAGAGGCTATTGGCCACAAAATTCTAAAAAAAACTTGTGAAACAAAACACCTACCTTAAATCACAACATACCCCCCAACTTTTAGAAAGGATTAATATGTGAGCAAAACCTTAATTTCTGCAACAAAAAAATAAACCTGTGTTTTAGATAATGTGTGCAGAAACAACACAACAGCTGAAATAACCCTCTCCAAATAGTATTTCATGAGAACTTCTATTCTTTTACTGATCCCAGTAGCTACTGAGAAAATCTCCTCCTTTATTTTGACAGCTACCAAATTTGTGCTACTATTGAGGAAGCTACACAAAAGGAAATATGGAAAAACTTCTTTGGAAAGAGTACTGGCCTCTAAATCATGAACCCCCTGTATGGCATGACTTGTCTCTCTGCCTTAATATTCCATCATCTTGCACTGAAAATAAGAATAGACAAGCTTGACATAGTCAAAAATTAAAAATACAGTCCCACAGGGAGTATCACACTGTATTTCCCACTGCAGTCACAATTTTTGCAGACAGTCATGAATGTGTTTCATTTGGTGTATATGTGCTTTTGAAGTATTGAATCTGGACCTCTACTTCATTCACTTCCTATCCCTTTTTTGGGATACCAACTAATAAGTTAAAGAATAAAACCAAAAATACTTCACTTTCTCATTTAAAAAACAAACACACACACACATACACACACACACAGTCTGCCCATTCATTTGGAAATTCACCATATGGAAATTCACAATAAATATGTATGAATTATAGCAAAGGATTATACTTCAAATGAATAGATGTTAAAAAAGATATTAAATCTCATCAATAACTCATGACTTTAGGTCCAACAGAACAAAAGTTAAAAGACTGCTTACATAAGATAATATTTCTAGCCCTGTATGAACTTTCTACTAAATATATTGCACTATTTAAACTTCCTTCATAACATGAAATGCAGTTATGCCACAGATTTAAGAGAAAAAAATTCCTTGGGAACCTTTCATTCTTTCAGCAGTTTTAGTTATTTCCTGCAGAATCTATTTTTTAACTTACTAAAACCAGAATCATATATACCTTCCTGTTACTGAGATATAATAGCTTTCCCCATATAAGTCAATGTACTGTGCCCTGTTAATCAATTACAGAGCACACTCTCCTGCCAGCATCATAGCAGCAAAGAAATAAACTCTCCTCCATACCATTTATCTCAGTGATGTATTAACATCCAAGCCAGCTTGGGTCCATTTAAATGTTAACTTCCCAAAGCAAAACCACACTTCCACTCCACTCTATTCTGTTTGAATAGAAAGAACCGATAACTTTGTCATAGGTATGATGACATTTGCTACTCTGACTTCCCTATTCAGAGGGAAATTACAGTATATGTCCATCAGCAACAAGTATTCTTGAGAATCAAATAATTAGATCAATGGTAAAAAGGTCACCTAATGTCATTAAATACAAATGCAAAACCTCTGCAATCCACAAGCTTCAAACTCCTCAAGACCTAAAGACTACGGAAGGGAAAGGCTGCTGTGTGCTATGCACTTGCTCTGTTCTTACATGCTTTCTCTGGCACCTGCTATCGGAAACCAGATACCAGCTGAGATGGATCTTTTGTCCTACCAAGTGCAGCTTCTATATGTTCAGGTGTTTGCACTCAACAAAACCAAGAAAGGATACATGTCCTTTCCTGTTTTACAATTCATTTATATTTCATTTATGCAGTCTACTGATCATGCTGGATAGTCTAGAAAGGGGCACAAATACAAACATACAAACTCTGATTTATCAACACCAAAGATTGTTAAAGTTTAAACCTCACTATATCAATGACTTCAATGATTTTTGGCCAGCAAATCATAGTAAAAAACCTCAATGTTTCACTTCATAGAAGCCTGTTCACATGCTTAGTGTTCTGACCAATAAACAGGTCACCTGTAAAGTTGCTGACATATCTTATCAAAGCAGTCTGAATAGATGAAAAAGACAATCTGCAGTTCATCTCTGTCTTCTTGACATTTGTATCAGGAAGTATGTTAGAATGCATGCAAACTACTATACATTTAGAAGTGCTAAGAAACAGGAACATTTATAGTCACAGGTGGTTTTTATTATTAATTTGAAGATGCATTGTAGGATCTCACAGAAATTCTTGCAAAGATTCTGTCTGTAAAATAAAAAGAGAGCTAATATGGGTACGGTGCTTCTGAAAAATAAAAATATTTGGATACTGATAAATAGCACTCATCAGAAATAACTGACAGTGACTTACTAAGAATGCTTTTGAAGAACAAAGGTATTTCCATCATTATGGTCCAGTGCGCACTGAGGAACAGACCTTTAGAACATACCAAACCTAAAATCCACAAAT